CCGCTGTGGATACAAAGACGGCCGGGCGTGGAGTTGGCCACCCACTCCCTCGTGTGCCATGTCGGCCTTCATTGGTGCTCGCTAACATAACTTTCTGTAACAATCTGTACGAGTGATATGGGGGAATCTTTTTATTTTTACATCTAAACGCTGAATACCCCCCCCCCCCCCCATTTGTCTATGAAATGCATGTGCATAGGCTTCAAATGGCGCACAAATTATTCCGAGAGAAAGTGCTACGTGTAGCGACAGCCGCTAATTTTGTCACGATATTTTTAAGTGTTATGTTTATTTCTCGCTGACCTCACGCGTGCTTTCACCGCATTAATATTACATCAGAGAGATGTAGCTGCACTCAAAAGGTCCGTCCTCATGCATTGTTAATGTTTTATATCCCCCAGTAACTGTTACTTTGGCTGGAGTGACTGAGTAATTTTTTTAAAGCCATAAAGCAGCGGCAGCAGCAAACTCATAATGTGTAGCTTTTTTAGCATTCGCAGCGTTCCGTGTGCCTTTGTGTTTTCTACGATGTTACTTATTTCACAGCGGCGCTGGTGGCAGTAAGTTTGGGGAGCGGTGGCCCAGCGGTTAGCACGCTGCGCGACGACACCCGGCCACCCGGGTTTGATTCCCGCTCATGACCAACACCTGTGACCAGTATCTAAACCGGTCCCGGTCCTGCCCTAGGTCGACTCAGCCTCAAATGAGTACCTAGTGCGGTGTGTACATATCGCCACTGGGGAGACAAAGGCGGCCGGGCGTGGTGCTGGCCACCTACCTCCCGTGTGAGCCGTCATATGTGCTCGCTGACGGCACTTGCCCCAACAGTCTGTGAAGGCTACACGGGGAAATCGTTGTCTCTGTTCGTCATTTTTTATGTGGCTTTATGCTGACAGTGTTTTTTTTTTAATTATAATATCACCACAGTTGTAAAATTAGGATGACTACAATTACTCTGTTTCCCAGTCATCAGCAAACCCTTTTTTTATTTTCATCATGATTAATAATTTAAGTGTTGGGACGCTGTGGGGGTAGTGACTGTTGCAGACATTTTTTTGCATTTCACACCAAACCTGACAAGCTCCGCGCATTTTATCACACGATATCAGTGCAGCTTCGATTCGCAAACCTCTGGCTTCGATTGTTTTGGGAGTCGTCAGGATACTTCTGATGGCGTCGCCCAGGCAATGTTACGTCCGCCTGTCCGAGGCCACGTTACATAATGTTCATCGAAAGCTACAATATCGTTCAAATCAATGGCTGCCAAAAGCTCAGTGTAAGCTCACCAGTGCCTCTAGCAGGATCTGAACAGATTTGGAGCCTCTTTGGCGAGCGTAAAGTTGCAACATACGAGGGTTTATCCAAAAGTACCGTGACTGCTTTGATTTAAGCAAAGCAAAAGTGCGACGTTCCTCGTTAAATGCGTCTCCTTTAAAGTAGTATCTTCCTGAGCGAACACGATATTGATTCCAGCTTTCCTGCCATTTGTCAAGGCATCTCTGGCAATCTTATTTCGGGATGGCCCCTCCGATGACCACGGTTGGCTACATATGTTGCGAATAAAGTCAAACACACACAACGTGGCTTTGAGGTCCCGAGTTGATTTTTGATGATGGTTGCCACATTAACACATTCCTGCGGAGGGAGCTGGTAGGAACGTTGGGTTGCTCGGTCAATGGCCAGGGTCAACGGCGGCGTGGTGTATTCCGCAAATATGCCCGACTGTGAGGGCGGGCACAAGCCGGCGTGAGTAGGTTAAACGTTGAGTTTTATAAGGGCACCACGGGGTGACCAGCCCCTCCCCACCCAGCCCCACCCCTCCCATCCCCCACCCAGCCCCTCCCCACCCAGCCCCACCCCTCCCATCCCCCACCCAGCCCCTCCCCACCCAGCCCCTCCCCACCCTCCCCACCCAGCCCCTCCCCACCCTCCCCTCCCCACCCAGCCCCTCCCTGCACGACGGACGCAATAATCCCCTGTGGGCTGGTGTAAGCAGGAGGTTCCTACCAGTATGAAATCTTTTTAGTTTACTTCTATTGAGCGTTTCAGACTACACAACTGCTATACACGACTGCACCATTTCACTATACAACTGACACTATACCACACCACTAAAGTACTGACACCACTTCACTGCACAAATATACTACACCACTACACTTTCATTCGTATCCTTACCTCATTCAATCAATGAATCACTCATTGAGTTTACTCAATCCTCTTAATTCCTTCATTTCTCATTTATCTCTCATTCAATCATGCACTCTCTCGTTTATGCGTTCGTTCTTAATTTTCTCACTTGTGCTTCATTCATTTACTCATTCCTCAATGGTTCATTCAAGTTAACTCTTTCGTTCTCCCCCTCGTCTGTTCGTTGATTCATTTGCACCACACAATGTGTTTTGGCGAACAGCAGCAAACATTTAAATTTGTAATGCACATCAGCATCTTCAGGCAGTTATCGAATGAATGTCACAATACATATGAACAGCATTGCGTCAACGATCTTTTAAGAACAAAATGTAATTTTAGAAGTTAATTTTTCTAACATCAACCCGCATTCCAATCACTCATTCTTTTAATCAATTCTCAATCTTGCATCATTAACACATTCCGTCCAGCACCTCCCCAGCAACCTCCCCGATGCTGTTGCTCTAAACAGCGTTGCTAGGGACACCGCTACTAGTGATGCTGTTGCTATGAACAGCGTTGCTAGGGACACCGTTGCTAGTGATGCTGTTGCTATGAACAGCGTCGCTAGGGACACCGCTACTAGTGATGCTGTTGCTATGAACAGCGTTGCTAGGGACACTGTTGCTAGCGATGCTGTTGCTATGAACAGCGTTGCTAGGGACACCGTTACTAGCGATGCTGTTGCTCTAAACAGCTTTGCTAGGGACACCGTTGCTAGCGATGCTGTTGCTATGAACAGCGTTGCTAGGGACACCGTTGCTAGCGATGCTGTTGCTATGAACAGCGTCGCTAGGGACACCGCTACTAGTGATGCTGTTGCTATGAACAGCGTTGCTAGGGACACTGTTGCTAGCGATGCTGTTGCTAGGGACGCCTGTCGCTAGGCGGGACGTTTGGACCTCGCGGCCAACAGATAATACACTTGATTTCGTAGTGCACATAAGCGCGGTAGCTTAACAGGGTTTTGAATTATGTAGTCCAGATAAGTGTTTTTTTTTTCGCTGATAACTCAGCAACTGAAGTTCATAGATGTGTAGTGAGTTCAATTGAGTCGCAGACGTCGTCCCCGTATTTGGAGACTCGTTGAACATAGAACGTAGACGGATGGTTTCTTTTAGAATGAACAACAACAACAACGCCGGTCCCTATCTGGGACCCTGCTGATATTCTCCGAGGGTTCTGGAAGGTGGGCGTGGCCAAGGGCAGAGATGACCACGCCCACCTTCCAGAACCCTCGGGAAGGATCTGGGTCCCAACCACGTGACCACACATAGCCCCATCGCGACCAATATTATTCATAATAAAGGTCTTTTGGGGTTAGATCGCGTTATTTATAAATGTGTCGTAACCCTCCTCCACCACCCGACACGGCCAAACAGTAAAACAAGTGTCACGTTTAAAAAAGGCAAATAGTTCACTACTTTAGCCCACCGGTGTGTGTTGAAGAGTGAATCAACATCATTTACAATATCAACTTTTGTCAATTTGAAAAAGTGCATCCACGCTAAAAAAAATCACCTCCATGTGCCATACAGTGTGCGTCAGAATCCAAAGCACTCGTGTGTGTAACTCTAACGGGAAAATGTTATTGCTTAAACATAGTATTATATATGCGTCGTACATACGACTATATAATTCAAAATACTCTTAAAGGGGTTGTGCTGAGGTCTGCTGATAAAGAAGCCACGTATCATAAACGCTAATTTGCTTTTTTGCCAAGCTCCCGAGTACAGGAGCCGATGTTTATTACCCACGGATCTGCGAAGCCATGCAGGCATCGTGCCACAAAGGGCCCTTACCTCATTCCGAGTAAAAGTCCGACGTCTTCGCGTGCATTTGCTGCTTTGTCATGGACCACTGAGACCTGTGTTGGCCCATTTCTCAATGTGGGCCTCACCCATGAGCATGTGTCCCCGAAGAAGCCTGGCCCTACGTGAACCCGGTGCGCACGTATCGTTCTTGTGCTTATTTGCGCAAGAAAGCATCACCAACTTTTCGCAGTAGCGAGGCAATGTTGCTTGCTGCTCTGTGCGTAATCCAATTTGAGTGACTCGCAGTATGATTTTTCAGCATTGGGAATGCGTTAGGTCAATACCGTGGGTTCGATTCGGACCCTGACGCCTGCTGTGCATTTGGAGTTTGCATGTCTATCTGTCCCTGTGGTCGCGTAGATGTTTTCTCCGGGTCCTCCGGTTTTCCCCTCCGCAATTCGAATCAACATCAACGCGTTTTGAGTATTTGGCTGCTGTTGTATTTCCACGTGATAAGCCACTTGGTTGAGCTATCATTTGTGGCCAGGTGGCTTCTGAACAAAAATCAACACAGCTCAGCGAACGGCTCCTGCACGCCGTGGAGGCTGCTGCTGCTGTAGTAGAAGCAGCCCCCCCCCCGTGCCCCCCCCCCGTGCCCCCCCCCCCCTCCCGTGCTTTGTAACGTTCTGACCCCCGTTGCCCCATACTGGACATGCTTGAGGAACAAAAAAAATCTGTGTAGCTCATCGGATCCCCTCCGGTACAAAATATTCTGATCCTGTCTTCTTGGTTCTTTCGGTAAAGTCACGTAGAATGGAAATAATAAAATAATAAAAATAAAACATAATGAAATAATTATTTTATAATAAAATAAAACATACTAATAAAATAAACATAATAAAATAATGTATTTTATTACGTTTGATTTTTATTATTTTATTATTTCCATTCTACGTGACTTTACCGAAAGAACCAAGAAGATGAATCCCTGCGGTCACGAAAGCTTTAAATCGAAAACAATTCTGATCCTGATTTGTCGTCGCGGGTGCGTTGCAGGCAGCGCCGGCACCTCGGTGCTGTTCAACGAGAATGGCGACGCCCCCGGACGCTACGACATCTTCCAGTACCAGCTCACCAACACCAGCAGCCCCGGCTACAAGGTCATCGGCCAGTGGATTGACCTGCTCAAACTGGACGTAAGTCCTCGTCCGCCTCGCCGTCAACATCGAGATGCCCCCCTCCACCCCTCCCCCCACCACCACCACCACCCTTGCCCCCCCCCCCACTCTCTCCGCGCTCTCACCGTACTCCCAGCAATCAGCGCACAAATAATCACGAAATTGCCGGAGAGGGGCGAGGGAGCCGCAAACCATTTGCTGGATTGCTCCGGATCAGTGTCGAGCGCCAGTGGAGGCAGCAGACACGCCGAGCATGTGGCTGTGTGGTTTGGTTGTTTTGTGCACCGCGCCCGAACTTTTAGCTCGTCAGTGTACGAGGAATAATGATTGTAATAATATTGATGATGATGATGGTGATAGACCCGTCGATGATTAAGACACAACGTGAGAATATGACGTGCTGGAATCGGCATGAAGGCTGTGTTCAGTGGCGGTGCTAGGTATATATTTATTTATTTAATTAATAAATAAGTAAACATGCAAACATTTAGGCACCCAAGAAGCCCACGTGGCCCCCTTATGCATGAAACATCGGTGTGCGGAAAATACCAGCTCCAGTTCAGATCTGAATACACGTTACAAGCTGCGTCATGTCACTCATCTTTCTCTTTCCTGTGTTTCTGTTGCCTTGCCTCGCTCCATCTCTGTCTCTTTGCAACAGCTCTCTCGTTTCACTATAACTCTCTCTCTCTCGTCATCAGTATCATCTCTCTCCCACTCATCTCGCTCCAACACTGTCTCTTGCCAACTGCTCTCCCGTTCCACTATAACTCTCTCTCTCTCGTCATCAGTATCATCTCTCTCCCACCCATCTCGCTCCATCTCTGTCTCTTGTCAACTGCTCTCTCGTTCAACTACAACTCTCTTTCGTCATCAGTATCATCTCTCTCCCACTCATCTCGCTCCAACTCTGTCTCTTGCCAACTGCTCTCTCGTTCCACTGCAACTCTCTCTCGTCATCAGTATCATCTTTCTCCCACTCATCTCGCTCCAACTCTGTCTATTATCAACAGCTCTCTCGTTCAACTACATCTCTCTCTCGTCATCAGTATCATCTCTCATTCCACTCATTTCGCTCCAACTCTGTCTATTGTCAACTGTTCTCTCGTTCAACTACAACTCTATCTCGTCATCAGTATCATCTCTCATTCCACTCATTTCGCTCCAACTCTGTCTATTGTCAACTGCTCTCTCGTTCAACTACATCTCTCTCTCGTCATCAGTATCATCTCTCATTCCACTCATTTCGCTCCAACTCTGTCTATTGTCAACTGTTCTCTCGTTCAACTACATCTCTCTCGTCATCAGTATCATCTCTCATTCCACTCATCTCGCTCCAACTCTGTCTCTTGTCTACAACTTTTTAGCCATTTCTCGAACAATTTCTAGCACCCACGCTCCCCCCACCCCCGCCCCCTCGCCGCCGAGAAGCGTTCTGCTCGTTATAACAATTGATTTGCGGCCGTGTTAAAACAAACGCATCTCACGTGATAAAAACGTGTCAACATCGACGGTGCAACAACGCTGAGCGTAATCTTTGATTCTTCTTCTGCGAGCCAAGTTGATTTCCATTGAGCCTAGCAGCCCTGCTCAGGCAGATAGTTGTTTTTGTCATTATCTGTCCCTGTCTGAAGATAGCCGGAGGCATTGGCCTTTCAAGCTGATAAGCTCTACATCAAAAACATTGTTTTAAGCCCAAGTGTTTGCCCTACTGGAAAATCACTTTCAGCCTGTGCACAGACGTACGCGCGTGTGTGTGTGCGTGTTGTTTGTGGCACAGTTGCTAATAGACTGCTTACTGGTTTGCGAGTCCAGCCACCAGAAAATTCTAGCGCAGCGGTTAGAGAGTTACACTTTGACCCCGGCTATCCCAGTTCGATTCCCACTCACGGCCACGAACACCGGTGCCGATTATCTGAACCGGTCCGGGGTCTACTCTGAGGTCGACTCAGCCTCAAATGAGTACCTGGTTGCTCATACCGATGAGAAGTGTTGAAATTAACTGATTACAATTCGCTACCCCATCCATCAGTGTCGGCTCTGGATTCAGAAGACATGACCGGGAATCAAGCCGAGAATGTTGATTGATACACAACCCTCTATCAAAGACAAATACAAGTATTCACCATATAGCCTTTGGCAGACTGTTGGGGCAAGTGCTATTAGCGAGCACCTATGAAGGCTGGCATAGCACACGAAGGGGTATGTGGCCAGCACCACGCCCTGCCACCTTTGTCTCCCCAGTGGCAATGTTTATACTTTGCACAAGGTACTAATGTGAGGCTGAGTCGACCTAGGGGAGGCTCAGGACAGGTTTTAGATTAATGTAACTGTGTTGGTCATGAGTGGGATCGAACTCAGGTTGCAGCGCAATGCGCTATCCGTTGCACTACCACTCCCCAAAGACAAAGATCCCCCATATAGCCTTAACACATTTTTGGGGTAAGTGCTGTTAGCGAGCACCTGTGAACCCCGACAAATTGCACAAATGGGGCGGTGTGGCCAGCTGCCTTTGTCTCCCCAGCGCCGATGTTTACACACCGCACTGGGTGCTCATTTTAGGCTGGGTCGATCTAGGGGAAGGCTTAGGGCTGATTCTGACACAGCGTCGGAAGTGGGACTAACCACTGCGCCACCATTCAGCTGCGATCCTGCCTGCCGAACACCACAGACAAAGATGACCCTTATAGCCCTTGACAGACTCTTGGGGCAAGTGCTGTGCTCGAGCACTCACGCGTAGACACAAACACACACACACGTGGCAAGTGCGCATGCAGTGCTATACATTTTAATTGTGGCGACGTAAATACCGCGCCTTTAATGAGCTAATTAGCAATGCTCGTAATGAACGTGATTTATGCGCTGTGCATTTGTGTCGAGCGCTGTAGCCCAAACTGTACACACATTTACCACTTAATAATGCACCGCCTGGCGAATTCATTGGCTGTAGGGAAATAATGGGCTTGCCCATACTCCAAACGTTGTTCCACATTAATTCGACCTGTTTAAATATGTATGCTCAGGGAGAGGTTACCGCAGAGGCTGCTGTTAATTAGAGCGGGCGATACTTAATAATCATAATAATTACTTGATATTTAACTGCGGGGCGTGCACTTGTTTTCCCAAATCCTTTTAGACGTCATAATAATCATGGCAATTAAGCAAAATTAACAGGCACGTGCCCGCTCTCAATGCGGAGGCAGATTTGTTTTAATAATGCCATCAAATACCTTGCTCGCGACAGGTAATTGGGGCAGAGGTAATTGTGTTTGTTTGGGTAACGCCACCTTGCCCCAAGGGGCGGGTGTCAAACGAGATTGTGAGCTGCACGGGCCACGTGCGTTTCTTCGTTCGATTGGACATGATGTGCAAACACATTGCCTCACCGCCCCAACCCTCGGTGTAGCCCTCACGACAACCTGAACGTAATGTATCATGATTATGTAACTGCAATGTATCACGTGTTGCAGTATGATGTAGAGCATCGACTACAATTTCGTATTCAGGTGATCAAGCCCAGACAGCCGCGTCACGAGCAGCGGAATGTGTCACCGTCGCTGCGATCTCTCTTTCGTATTTGTCCAACTTTCACACTTGAACTAGACATTAAAAAAATTATTAAATGAAACTAAACTATTTTAATTGTACCATGTACGTTAAACTTCTTTCGCACCGTACCGAGCCAACCATGCAAATCGGAGATGCGGTAAGGCCCCACTGAGCTATGGAGCTCTTTATCAGAAGCAACCGGGCAACAAATCGTAGCTCTACGAGGTGACGGCTCATCGTCACGTGGACATTTATAGCAGCCAAATACTTTTAATGTGGATGGAAAAACCGGTGGAGCCCGGAGAAAATTCCACGCGACCACGGGGAGAGAGACGCGCAAACTCCAGATATAGAGCGGCAGGCGTCAGGGTCGAGATTGAACCCACGACCTCCTGCGTACCAGGCGAGGGGGTTAACATCTCCTCGCCACGGTGGCCAGGAGATGTCAACTCAGGTAAAAAATGAAATTAAAATTAATAAAAAAAAAATATTATATTATTTTATTATATTATTTTATTTTTATTAATTTTATTAATTTTTGTTAATTTTTTTACCTTCGTGACTTTACCGAAAGAACTAAGAGTATGAATCCTTGCAGTCGCGAAAGCTTCAAATCTAGAATGTCAACTCAGGTGGGGGGAAGGGGCGGTGGTAACCGTGACAGTGCTACTACAGCGGTGATGGAGTTCTCTCACAACGTGAGCGATATATTTCTTTAAAAATTTACTTTTGAGAGCCATCGGCTGCTGAGAGCCATCGGTTCCGTCGCTCAAGCGGTGGGCCCGTCACTCACTCGCGTTGTGCCTTTCCCATCTTTCTCCACAATTGCCGTCTCGAGTTGCGGACGCGTCTATTAATCCTCGGTAGATTCATCCCGCGTGTCCTCCATACCTCTTTGCGCTGAACAAAAGTAAAGAAAAATGTGTCTGTAGAATGTTTCCCGGTGGGTAAGGAAGTATCAACAGGATTCACGTTTGTTGTTGTTGTTGGCACGCGCACGTCTTGTGTACCTGTGTGTGTCTCTGTGTGTGTGAGTGTGTCTGTGTGTGTGTGGGGAGCGGTAGTGTAGTGGTTAGCGCGCTGCGCTATGAACCCGGCGACCCGAGTTCGATTCCCGCTCACGGCCAACACCAGTGACGATTATCTGAACTGGTCCCGGGCCTCCCCTAGGTCGACTCAGCCTCAAATGAATACCTGGTGCGGTGTGTAAACATGGCCACTGGGGAGACAAAGGCGGCCGGGCGTGGTGTTGGCCACCCACCCCCTTCGTGTGCCGTTCCGGCCTTCATAGGTGCTCGCTAACAGCACTTGCCCCTAAAGTCTGCTAAGGCTATCTTTGTATTGTATTGTTGTGAGTGTGGCAGTGTAGTGGATAGCGCGCTGCGCTCCGAAACCGGCGACCCGAGTTCCGTTCCCGCTCACGGTCAAGAGCAGTGACGATTATCTGAATTGGTCATGGGCCTCCCCTA